ATGTTCAGCACTGCCTGGCATAATCAGTCATTTTCATGATCCCTAGCTCATAAAGATGTGCATAAGATTTGTTATCAGTCGTCTGAAATGCTAGCAAGATTACAAACTTATTTGCTCTATTAGAAGCACATCTCCAACAGAAGTGTTTATAAACCCAAATTACAATTATTGTATACTGAAACATTTAAAAATGGCTCGACTTTAGAAACACCTCTGTTATTTAAAGCGTGGTAGTCGTCACGCTGCGCATGTGCGAGATATATTGGTCTCATATAAACAAAGATGGCGACTTTGACTGTTGCGCAGATCAATGAGTACAAACTGAGACGTTTCCAAGCTTTAATTAAGTAATTTTCATGTTATTGGAAGGCATTGAAGGAGTCACTGGCGATAATCAGTGCAAGTCGCGCCCAGGTCAAACCTCATATTTGTGATTTCCATTTGAAGAGCGCATTGGATTGTGGGAAAATCAAAGTTTATCAACACAAATGTGGCACATGACTACTGCTCTTTAAGTAAGTGCATGTGCTATGACTAGGAAATATGGTATATTTCACAGGCAATGAGACCAAAAACTGTTTACAAAATTAAAATTTAAGAATGAGAACATAGACAAAAAAAATCATTTCTCAATAATTATTACCTCGTAAACTGCTCTTTGGTTTTGGTGGTTTTTCTCCTGGCATAGGATTCCAGGTAGTTTGTTTATACAAGTTATCTACGTAACTATCCAGACTAGCAGTAGATGAAATCAGACAAACCAGACACTCTACATCACTGGCTGCAAATGTTTTACCTACAAATACAACAATACATGTAACCAGACACATCACTGGCTGCAAGAAATAAATACATCATTTATATGATCTAACATTGTCATGTTCACAAACGTAAAAAGTTTTACAAATTACATCATGCATGTTCCTTAATAATACTGCACAATTCCATGCTATGATGGTACTACCAAAAAATTAATCCACTCTCACTACATCCCCTCCTCTACAATCTTTCCCTTACCAGTGTTATTGTATCACCATACACAACACAATTAATTAACAATCTTTCCCTTACCAGTGTTATTGTGATAAGCATCTTTATTGTTATGAACATCATTAGCCTTTGTTTTGTTTCCATCTCCCACAGCATTTTCTTT